TTTATTCGTCTCTTCATGAATAGTCAAGTGTATACATCAATCCAGCTTTAACTTATTCATTTATAATTCTTCTCTAATCATTCTTTTTCGTATCATCCCCATTTGTTTTCACTCACCTTCGAGTTGATGACAGTCTGGTTAAACTTTGGGCTACCGAATTTATTTTATCATGTTCTTGCCTTTCAGTTTCTTTGAATCTTTTAAATATTTCGTTTAAATGCACCAAATACTCTGAGGTACTTTAAAATAGTTTCTAAGAGGTAGGCTTATGGAAAACGGCTATCCTGAAATTTAAAGGTGATGCAGCAACTGACTTCCTGGAATCATTTCTAGAGATCAATTAGTAGAACTTTTTTCCTTGTCAAACTTCATTTGACTTTTACTAACTATTCTCCGTTTGTGCAAAAGACGATATGCTTCAACAGGCCACCTCTACCAGTTTGCCTGTTTCTGTGGAGCAATATACATCAGTTGTGGTTAGAGATTGCTCTCAACTCATATACGAAAACATATTCCTGCCTGGTTTTTATAAAGGTCAAAGGAAATGCATCAGAATTTCTATCCTTGAACATCTGAACGATTCCAACCATTGGACCGACTCAAACATCTCACATTTCCTCTGCATTCTATTTCTAAAACAGCAGAGGTCTTGGCTATCCGTGAACTGAAAATGAAGAATAAGTGATTCTACGGTAATAGTTGGGCTTATAAATGCACAGAAATACATTATATTACCATTCCTTGGTTGACTACGTTAGATTGGAGGTTTTCGTATTAGCTGAATAAAATACCACCACCAAAATTACTCTCTATATTCTATTCATTTACCAGTCCAAAGCATACGGTAATGTATTACCAGGTACCTGTTTCACATTAGGGCTTCCATTACTATTATTACTAGCATTATTCTCCGTACGGATACACCCAGCTGACAAGTGAGTCCCAAATAGGACAAAACGCTCGTCCTGGATCATTCTGCTAGCCACAACCAACTAAATTATACAATGATTATTGTCTCAGCATCATCTTCATTGAAAGCTGAAGTAAGAAAGACTGGTTTATTTCCAACAATAATATATTCTGCTCTACTCTCTTTGCTTTTGTAGAACGTTGGAACAAATTTCATTGGATGACTATTATTGTACAGACTTTGTTTGATTAGTTAAAATTCGTCTTGGAAAATAATCTCTTTTATCTCGGGTATAACCTGCTCAACAAACATCTCTTGTAGATGATTAGGCAGAAGCTGTTGAAATTTAAATGCTGACCATTCCATGTAATTTTATAGGGAATGTTCCTCTTCACTGTACCTATAGTTTTATCTTATCCGTTTATCACTTTGTCAACACAATCCCTTCTCCTTAATTCTAGTCTTATTTCACTCATTCGCGAACATTCCTCATTATGGCTTATATAAGGGCTATTACCCGAACTTCCTTTGTATCCTGAATTATTATATTTTCCTGATCGTTATAGCATTAGCCAGTATTTTAGTGACGGTCTAATGAAGCATCTCATAGTGATTATTTATCTTTTTATCTATATTGTATGCGGCTGAAGAAAATCTTACGAAACGAATGGTGTCATCTTATCCTTTGAACTGTGTTTTCATTGAGTTATACACGAGAAAGCAGTTTTTGTCGTTTAAAGTATGTGATACAGTATAATCATCCATGCAACAACTGGTGCTCATTGGTGACTAGCTTCGAGAGGTATTCTCGAAGTTCCAATGAGTAATCGTGACCGGTGGAGTCAAAGCCTTATGGTTGTGAAGACAGTTACTCAACGATGACATTAGGTAGCGGTTGCGCTATATCGTGAGCTAACAGAAGTTAGAAATATGGAGCATTGGGTTGTGACCCAGTGGCTCAATAGTAAGGCGCTGGCCGCGGAACCGAAAGGTCGCGGGTTCTATCCCTGGCTGGCGGAGTCGTGGGTGTGCACTGCTGAGGAATCCCATACTGGTCAGGCGAAACAACTGTCCAGTGCTCCCAGGTTTCTTTTGTTCATCCAACTGATGTCAGTCTACAATGAATAACAACTTGAAATTTCATTTCCTGAAAAGATTTTTTAATTTTATGGAATATAAACAAATATTCTAATTTTTATCGTAGGCAAAAGAATCTCTTCCAATCTATATGGATACATGTGATCCGATGAGTGTTTGTTTAGTCTAACTTTCTAGCTTGAATAAATTAACTTTATCAATCTTAAAAATTGAAGATGCGGTGTTTTTATTATGGTTTCACTGTGAGATGTTTGTTGACTGTTTCATCGATCACAAAATATCCCTGTTAACCAACAGACAGATCAGGATGGTATGAATTAGAAATGTTGTGGAGACTGAAGACAGGCAGTTGAAACCTTTCAGAATTAACGTAGTCCACAGATCTATGCTTTTTTTTACTTCTTAATTACGTTGGTTAAAAATGCCTTTGTATGTTCCATATTAACATTGAACTAAATGGCAGAAAGTGAGCATATAATACACTGAAACTGATTGGTCGATTTCCGCACCTTCTGATTGGCTGATATCATGATGTACCAATAAAATGTTTAAAGGCATGAATTTGACCATATGGAAAACGTAAAATAATGTCATCAAATCATGTAGCAGTAACCATTAGTCCATACATAGGCTGACATAATTGAAAAAGATGCTAAACATTAAAGGTGGGCTGAAGATGATCGGCAATACAAAGATATGTGCATGGAAGATCATATATCAATAGTGATCGATCAGTTCGATCCAATCAACGGCGAAGAATTACAAGCTTTAATATCACAAACATGCTTTATTCATCGCACAAGGATTGGCTATCATAATATAGTGCCTTAGTAGATAACGCTGTGCAATTTGAAGCTATTTTTCCTAGATTCGAGAGTTAGTAAGAATAACATCACTCTTTAGGAGGCAAGTGTGTTCGTCTGACGAGTCGCGAATAGGACGAAATGCGTTTCTTCAATTCTATTGTTAGCTACTATCCGTCATTAATCATATCCTAAGTTATAACGGTAGACATTAAAGTTAACTTTGAGGAAATTTCTTTACTTTACCTTTAATAACTGTCTGTACTCAAGAGGTTTACAAGTATACCAGTATAAGCTTTCTGATTTGACCGTCTAAATTAAAAGATTTAATGCTGTTGAAGTAGTCTTCACTATCTTGAGCAGTTGATGATCTATAATGCCTAGTTCTACAGTTTGTTCGCGTCAGTTACAAATCACCTTATGTAAACAGCAAGGCTTTCAGAATTAACAAAATTAGTCTGCCATTTGGTCATTATTTGTAATTTGCATACCAAGACCTGATTATGGTGGATTGGATCATGCAACAAACAGTTAGGACCGAGAAGAGGGGGATACGCTGTTTGACTGTGGAAAAGATCCTAGAAGATTTGGATTTCGCCAATGACTTGTGTCTAATGTCGCAGAGACTCGAAGATCCACAGACAAAAACCTATAAGTTGACAGAAGAGGTAGAGCAGAGAAGACGAGACTTCCTTTAGGTGATTGTAGAGAAGGTAGAGATGATGAAGATATTCAACCAACCCACAACAACAACAAGCACCAACCATATCAACGGGAGAAACCTAGAGGACGTTGGCTCTTTCACCTAGGCAGCGTCTTTTCAACTACGGACGGCGGTGGCACAGATGAGGATGTCAAAACTAGGGTCGGAAAAACAAGACAGACCTTCATTAACCTGAAATTGGTGTGGAGACCTACTGCTGTGCACTGCACTCAGCATAAAGCGTGAACAACAACAACACTAATGTCAAGTCAGTGCTTCTATGTGATGGTTGAGAGACTTGGCGCGTTATGAAAAGCATTTCCAACAAATTACAGACATACATCAACAGCTGCCTACGCTCACTCCATACTGACATTGAAGATCAGATGTCCAGAATAATAAGAATAATCAAGAAGGAACTCACTGTGGCTGGAAACGAACCAACCAAGAAGCTATCGCTCAACAAATATGCAGAAGAAAGGGGAGATGGATTTGATTGGACATACACTGAGAAGGCCGATTGGGGACACTACGCGCTAGTTCAGGCCAGGCCCTCAAGTGGAATTCAGAGGGAAAACGACGAGTTGGGCGTCCAAGGCGATGGTGACACGGAGATCATGTGAAGAAGAAATGAGAGCTTGTGGGCAGTGGTGGAGCCAGGTTGAAAAGACTGGAGAGAAGAGAGTGGAATAGCGACGTGATACTCAAGCGGTATGCTCCACTAGGAACTCAAAGGACAAATAATAATAATAATAAACACCAAGAATTGGAAACAGTCAATGAAATTCCTGACTGCTGACTTGAACCACATGAGGAGTTGTAGACTGCCTTGTTTGAATCCCTAAGACGAAAGGAGTCAGTGGTTGAGGACACTTAGTGACATGACTTAAATATCTAGTTGGTTTAAGATCTTCTCATGTGAATTAGATCAAGTTACTAACTTATGCTGTAGGTTCACTTCAACACAAACCACACCAGAGTAATAAGTAGCAAAGTGGGTGACAAGGTCACTACAAATGATACTAAAATATAACCGATTTCTTTTCCTATGTTTTTTTTGCTTGAATACGATTTATAGTAAGAAACAATTACGCATTTTATACACGGAATATTTGGACTGTGAAGTTAACTTATCATTTGCAAATCAATCATCTAGTTTCAGACATACTGGTCTATTCAAGTCAACCAACTAGATTTAGATAGTTTGAATTAATTCGGCTCTATAAGCTGAATTTATCCATGTACACTGTTGGTTAACTTGACCCTGAATAAGCGAAACAACCATCCAGTGTTTAAATCAATCTCTTATCTAGCTAACAAAATACTACAAATCATCTTGAGTGATTATCAACTATTCAATCTGTTATTGGTTCAGTTCATTATATGTATTGAGTTATTTCCTCATTTTTATGAATGATACCGTTGACTGTTGTCATCTAATTTTTCCTATCTTATCTATTCTATTTTTATTCGATTAAATTTGTAGTTTTATCAATGTGGCTGAATTAATTATGGCATATCTTGGTCAAACAGATCCTATATCTCAAGGTAGTCATACTGGCAGTACTTATATGAATACTGGTGTTGGTGTTAGCTCTGGTACAAGTTCAACTATACCATTGAATTCATTTAGATCAGATCAATTAGATGTTAATGATTTACATGGAGTAGATAATGAAATATTTATAGAAAATTCATCTGTTGACACTGATTTAAACTTTAATGAAGATGATCAACATTTAGAAAATAAAAATATTAACAATTACAATAATGTTAATGATAATAACAATTATGATTATTCATTGAATAATCAACCAATTATACAAATTAAATTAATTTATTTTATGCTTCGATCAAATTCAAGTAAAATAATTCCATATTCAATGAATAATTTAATTAATTTGAATGTACCGCGGTTATTGATGCATTCAAACAATATGCATATTTTTGTTCAATTTGAGGTAAGCATTACTTGATTTGTTTTTCTTTTATAATCATAGATAAGCTCATGAAATAATTTTTTTTTTTAACTGAATCATCATCACTACTTGTCCTACAAAGGCGTTAATAATCGTATCGATGAGCTAACTAAAGTTTTCACTATTGTCGGTGCTCATTATCATAATATTATTTATTTGTCCCTTAGGTTCCTAATGGAACATAGGAATTCAGTAGTATATCTTCATTCCCCTCTTTTCTCTGCAATCTTTTCAACATGGCTCCACGACAGCCCACAAGCTGTCATTTCTTCCTCATACCATCTCCTACATGTCACTCTCACCTCGGACGCCCAACTCATCGCTTCCTATCTGAGTTCCACTCGAGGGCCTAGCCTGGTGCGTGATGTTCCCAGTCTACCTTCTCAGTGTATGTCTAATCCAATCCATTTCCACTTCCTTCTGCATATTTGTTGAGTGATAGGTTCTTGGTTGGTTCGTTGCCAACCAGAGTTCCTTGTTACTTATTCTCATTATTCTGGCCATCTCAGCTTCAGTGAAGAGCCAGAGTAGGTGGCAGTTGTTGATGAATATCTGTAGTTTGTTGGAAATGCTTTTTGTAACGCGCAAAGTCTCTCAACCGTCACATGGGAGCACTGACTTGACTGAATTGATGTTGAAAATCCGGATGTTGTTCACGCTTTATACTGAGTGCAGTGCAATGCAGTAGATCTCCACACTGGTTTCAGGTTAATGAAGGAAGGCCTGTCTTACTGTCTTTCCGATCCTGGATGCTTTGACATCCTCGTCTCTGCCGCTACCTGCAGTTGAAACGGTGCTGCCTACCTAGATAGGTGAAAGAGACTACTTCAAGTTTCTCCCGTTGATGGTGATTGGAGCTTGTTGTTGTTGGTGGTGTTGGTTGGGTATCATCATCACCTCTGTCTTCTCTACGTTCACCTGAAGGAAGTTCCGTCTTCCTTCGCCACGCCCTATGCCAACTTGTTCGATTTCACCTGTAGATCTTCGAGTTTGGGCTACAAGACATTAGACACAAGTCATTGGTGAAATCCAAATCTTCTAGATTCTTTTCCGTGGTCCAGCCAGCGTATCACACTCTTCTCACTCCTCACTGTTTGTTGCATGATCCAGTCCACCACAATAAAGAAGATGGTCATTGATAGTAGGCAGTCTTGTTTTACTCCTGTTGTCACCTCAAAGGCATCACTGAGCTTCCCATTGTGAATTACTTGGCATTTGGCATCTTTATGTAGTTCTTGAATGAGTTTGATAAAGGTTTGTGGTATTCCATAGTATTGAAGCAGTTTCCAAATTACCTCTCGGTCGACGCTGTCGAAGTCCTTTTCAAAGTGTATGAAGTTGACGTAAGGTGGAGGGTTGACTGCCATTCCATACTCTGTTCTATGATGATGCGTGGTGTAGCGTTGCTATTTGGTCCGCACATGATTTGTACTTTCTGAAGGCAGCCAGCCTATTCCGGTCGTAATTTTTAATCCAGCACATCCTTGAGTCTCTCTCTACAGGATGATGCGGCTTAATATTTTGCTTGCTCTGGGTGGACAGCAGCATGATTCCGCACCAGTTCTTGCAAAGACTTAGGTCTCTATTCTTCGGGAGTTTGACAAGTTGGAACTTCTTCCAATCGCCAGGCACCTTCCCTTCCTTCCAGTCCTTGTGCAATAGTGGTGTGAGCATATCCGCTGTTGTCTCTGCGTCTGCTCTTAGTGCTTCTGGTGAAATTCCATCTGTTCGTGCTGCTTTCCCGCATTTCAGTAGCTTTATGGCATTCGGGACTTCCACTTTTGTTGATAATGCCACAATCATGATATATTTTAATATAAAGCCAAGTATTTGTGAAAATCGAACGAGAATATCTTTGAAAGTTTGCCTGTGTAAATTACACCGTCTTCAACAGAATGTTTGAGATTTTTCCGAAATAGTTATCACCTCACTAAGACTTGAACCCGTAACTGATCACTTTAAGCGCTAGGGCGTTACCCACTAGGCCATCGAGTCACCATAGCCACTTCTTATGCAACCGGCATAGTTTTTAATATTGTCACTTGTAATATTCCATCGTTGATTGGAACGAAATTGATCGGTTCCTATTGGCACAATACTGTCTGTTTCAATTTTATGTTAATGATGCCTATTAGCTGGCAGTAGAATTCGGGTTTGAATATTTTAGCAAAGAGTCTTTTTTTCAGTGGTAACATTTTCAAAGCTGTTTATTCGTAAATCGATGCATTTTTCTGGTATTAGGAGTCGACAACTAAAAGTGGTTCGTCTAACTTGGCAATAAAAATGGTGTCAGTACATGAGCTGCTATTAAAATCAATAACTGAGATGAAAAGGGGAAGATTAATCAGACTATGGCTGGAGAATTATAAAGATTGGGGTAGTTATCATCATGGACTAACATGAGTTGGAGAACCAGTAAGGACATTAGAAGATTGGACATCAGTTTCGTCCTAGCACGGTACTGCTGAGCAATACACATCCACAACTTGACTACGGATCGAACTCATGACCTTCAGGTTTCACAGTAAACACGTTAACCATTCAACCACTAGGTCGGCTAACCAGATCCAAGTGTTCTAAATAACTGGACTGCGTCAGCTGAAGGAAATTTTTGACTGGTTTAGCCTTAAACGACTGACACAGCCGTTCAGTATTTGGGTGATTCTGTTCTAGCTGGTGAAATCTACAGATCAGCTAGAGTGGTTTCTAACTACTCATTTTACATAGTAGCAAATTTTCTTTACCATTATCTCTGTTACTACCCATTGTTTTTAGTGTTGATATGGGGCTCCTGAGTAGTTCACACCCATGATCTTGCCAGGGATCGAACTCAGGACTCTCAGGTTCCATAGACAGCACGCTACTATTGAACAGGGCGAACCGAGCTGACATGAGGACGAATACTTAATGATGGTACTGGGTGAAAATAGCGTTTTATCATGAACTGACAGAAGTAGGAAATACGGACCATTAGATTCCGCCACTTCGGCTGAATGATAACATACTGACCATGAGGTCTGAGGGTCCTAGGGTCTGATCCCTGGAGGGGCGGGGTGATGAGTGTTCACTGCTGAGGAGCCCCATACTAGAACGGAACAACTATCCACTGCTCCCTTGTTTTCACGGTTTCTCCAGTTGATATCAGTCCATGATGGCTGGCAACTTGATAGATTAAAGCCAGTGGATACTGGATTATGCAACAAGTGCTTTTCTACTAAATCATAATACTCGAAGCCTAATCAAGTCTTCATGTAACTGGTGACTGCAGTAATCGTTCAATCAAGCTTTGTCCTACCTAATCTGTGTTGAAGTGAATTTAGGATAGAGCAATGGACTGATTGTTGACTGATTTTTGTGACATGTGTTTAATGAGCGAATGGGCATTAAATACGTTATTGTTGTATTAGTCCTATTCCTTCAAGTTGTTTACCATTATCAAATCGATTTACTAGAATAGGGATAACACATTAACCTTTTGGTATCCTTATATTGTTAATTAACAGAGAAATGGATACCTTCTATACAAGCAGTTTTCCATTTTTATCACTTTTTACCATTGTAATCAAGGTAATCGTCTTCAAATTACATATGAAGTGAAGGAACAAATGAAAGATCTAAGTTATTCAGTAGTTATTTCAGTAGCTTAGCGTGCTTTTTAAAAAAAAAGTGAATACATCATCTAAGTCAAGCCTACAGATTGGTTTATTAGACATGTTTATGCAACTCATGGGAGTATTTCTTGTTCACGAGTCACTTGAATGATTGAACCTAATTTTTGAAAGTTTTTGGAGTTATTTTACTCAACTTCCATTCAGTCCCTTACCAAATGGACTCTCATTTCATACTTTGAGATTTACCGTATTATTTATTCAAACTGATTTAATAGATATCAACTTTTGTGATTTCATTTATGCTTTGTTCCATATATCTATTAATTTGGATAATATCTGAAGTGGCCAAGTGAATAATAGTAGTAATAAATACGTGAGTCATCCAAATCAGGATTATATAAAATCACTAGGTCAAAAGTTGGATATTTATTTTGATTGGTTGACGATAGGATAAATTGTCCAATCAGATTTTCCTGACTATACAGTGAGATGAAATAAAGATTGGAGTATAAAACTTCTGCCTTAACGGTTGATAACTTAAAATGTTGATTTCCATTTAGGTCATTTACTATCATTATTGATATTGGTTTGCTGTTGTTCACGTAGATCCATATATCAACAGTACAGATAGCAAAGTAATAAATGTGTGTGTTGATGCAAATTAACTGACACTGGAATATAATTTACAGTGCTTCATTCAGTACTCCAGTTCCAGCTGTGTCTCACTGGGTTATCACGGTAGTTTTCAACCAGTGGGCCGAGGGTTCGAACCCCGGTTCACTTGCCAAGGTTTGGGCAACCAAGTGGCAGGCGTCGTTAGTCCTCACACACTGTATCTGATTGCCTACGGTACAAATATAGTAGGTAATGCCTCTCGACTATAGAACTGAAAGAAGTTGGAATGTTACAAATTTCATCTTCAAGGAGTTTTCTTTTCTAGAAAGTGAATTTTTATACAGGACTTCGTACCCATTTCTTCCAACTCTAAGGCGTTATCTACTAAGACATTGAAGCACACAGAGCCACCTCTTATCCAACGGGTATCAACTGTTTTTTTGATACTGGTAATTTCCCATTGCTATACTGAGTGGAATTGCTGAACCTCCGTTAGCAGATGGGAATCTATGCGGATGCCTCGATACTCCCGGACATTCATGATGGTGTATTCATCTTGATAACTAGAAATGAACTTCATTTAGATGTACCTGTACCACAATGCACCCCAGTGGTCGACCAGCTTGACTTTATATAACAACGAGATGGTACTTTGGGCTTCAAAACGATATTACTATATTATTGTATAAAAGATCTATCCAGTGAGAAATTAATGAAGTTATAGCCTATCGCTCTAAAAAAGTGACTTTAAATCAG